GGGGGGGGGGGGGGGGGGGGGGGTGCTGAAGAGGTGTGTGTGTGTGTTTGTGTGAAAAAGGGAAAGTGGAGAATAGAAAAAGAAGAAGAGCCTTCAGGGTTGTTGAGGTCAAGACAAGCTCAGATGAGGGATAATCTGCGGAGGTCCCTCACAGATTGGGGGGGGGGGGGGGCAGAGGCCCCTGATGGAGCACACCCACTCAGCCTCTCCTCATCAGACACATTGCTCTCGTTCCCATTTCCCTCCTCGTTCTTTTCCTTTTATTTTTAGTTTAAGTCACGATCTCTTCATCGTCTCTTCTCTTTTTTTGAACCCCCCCACCCCCCACCATCTCTCGGGCAGATTTCAAAGGGCACTGAACCTGCAGCGAAAGCTGAATGTTTAGCAGGCAGATCCCCTCACAGTCAGGCGGGCTTGGATTGAGGAATTCCTCCCTCCCACTCTTTAGGAACTGTTTTTTGCCCCTTCAGGGGCCCCTGCCACAACTGCCAGCGACCTCCTGCTCCTCCTCCTCCACCTCCATCTCCAGCCAGGGCCCTGTTTGCAAATTTAGCCTGACAAAAAAAATAACAGGACCGGGGGTGGGGGTGGGGGGGGGAAGGTGCAGAACAACTTCCTATAGTACCATACCATTTTATTTATAGAGCACTTAAAACAGCGACAGGGCCAACCAAAGTGCTGTACAGACAGAACAACAGGCAACACACAAAGCAAAATACAAAATGAGGTAAATCAGAATATAAACATAAAACGGTGCAGATAATAAATATAACGACTAACCTGTGTGAAGCATACAAGTTCAAAACACAGATCATCTGGTGTTGAAAGCTACAGAATAGTAGTGGGTTTTAACATGTTTCTTTTTAAAGTGAAGAGCAGGTGATGTGCGTCTGAACACCTGAACATGTGTGCATCTCACGACCCCTGACACAAATAAATAAATCAGTACGTTTGTATCAAAGGTTTGAAACGGACACCTAAAGCACTAAAGCTCACATTCAGCTGGTGATGTGATGTGGTTAAAAAAAAAAAAAAGATGAATTTTGTTCGCTGCATCTGGAAACACCACATGTCCACCTGGCTTTTCAGTTAGTGTGCCTGAACTTGTTGCCAAAGATGATCTTTTGTGTTGTGCATTTAAATATTCAGCCATGTCTGATAAGCTGCAAAAACTCAAACAAGTAGTTTCTTCACCGCTGCAAGTTCACGTCATTTATCTCATAAGAGACTGAATATCAGTAAACTGATTTGACGTCACCTCTACAGTCTAATCAGCCAAGAAATAAGGAAAAGATGATTTTTCTGCAGTAGAACAGAAACAACACTTTCTTATCATGTATCAATACACAAATACTTTCTTGCAGATGTAAAAAAACAAACAAACACCTTTTGTGTCTTTTTAAAAAATATTCTCACACACAGCTGAATCAAGTGAGGTCAGAAACAACAGGTGACATCACTGCTTTATGTGACACAACATGGACAAGCTGTAAAACACTAAACTATTTGTTTTGTGATCACGTTTATAAAAATGTTCTTACATCTAATCTGCGTGCGTTTGTGCTCACGCTTAACGAAGGTGCTCATTGCAAACTATAAATATAAATAGTGCAGTTTGAAAAAAGCCCCCGACTGTATCTCTTTAGGCATGTTTACAAATCGAACAAACAAAACAAAAAAAAAAAGAAATTTACTCTCTCTTCAAGTCCATTTTGATTTAGTGTAAAAAACGATCTGCATCAACAAATTTGAGTGTAGATACGTTCCTGTACATCAAACTTGTCAAACTTCTCCCTCACAAATGGCTGTAACGTGGATTAGTTTAGTTTATTAGTTTATTGTTTATTTGTCATATGGAGTCAGCCTCCCCACCATCACAGACATCTCCACCTCCAGATGCAGGAAGAGGGCCACCTGCATCATGAAGGACCCCACTCACCCAGCACACACACTTTTTGCCCCGCTCCCCTCAGGAAGGAGGTTGAGGAGCATTAAGTGTAGAACCACTGGACTGAGGAACAGCTTCTACCCTGAAGCTGTTAGACTCATGAATCCCCAACCAGGAGAATCACTGTAATGACACTTTAATTGCTGATATGTGATTTTTAACTGTGCTGCTGATTATCCATGCTGCTGATTTCTTACCCATAAGCTGCTGTATTCATACCCTTCTGCTCACCACAGACTCCTGTTTGGGCCGCTGTTGTTACGCCATATTGTTTTACATTATTTGTGTTTATCTTTGATCTTTTAGCGTACTGTTTGGCGTTTTCTTTTTAAGCGCATATAGTGTATATCTTCTTCTCCATTTCTTTTTATACTTTATATATTACTATTTTTGGGTGTAACTGGGACTCTGTGTGTATCATTTCCTTCCAGCGACCCCATATGATGCAAATGACAATAAAGCAGTGGTGTAGTGTACATTTGTGTACTGGGTGTACTATGCTTAGAAACCGAAGAACACCAGTTAGTACAACGTAATTGTCAATTTATTTTGATTTTTCAGCATAATGAACATTTCAAAATTTCTCTGATGCTTATATTTGAATAAATGTACAATAAACGTACAACAGTTGCCTTTGTAACATGTTATAGATTTTATTAAAGCAAAACATGTTCAAGCATTAAGTAGTATTTAAAAAAAACAGGTTGAACCAACTCAATGTGTCTATAAAATGTTCCAAATGTGTTGACAATAACATAATATGTCATGTATCATTGGGCTTTTCTAGTGGATATACGCCATGCCCGCGTACACCACTGCAATAAAGTCACCTTGAACCTTAACTTATTAAATTTAATGTATATTCATAACTGGAAAAACTGCTTGCTACCTTGAACATCAAGTTTGAAACAATGTTATCGTTCAGGGTTTGTCTTGGGGAAGGTGTTCAGCTATCACCACACCAAACTGTGTTTCAACATCTGTAAATTTGACTTTTTGTGTTGGCTAAGGTCAGTTGGCTGTGGTGGCCATCTTGAATCAGGTTGACCATGAAAGCTCATCATTTTTCATTAAAATCCACCAAGTGGTTCGTGAATTACTGACAGATTATGCACATGACTGTTTGATAGGGGTGGTGGCGTGTTAGTCGAGGGATCAGCAGGTTTATAGGGTGGGGCAATGGCCCCCATATCCTCCGCCCCCTTGGTGACGCCCCTGTGTTCAGGCCATTTGCATTTCTTGTAGCGCATTAGCACGGCTCTGTTGGGATCTGCACCTCTGATGATGGATGGATGGATGGATGAGGTCAGGACAGCAAGTAGGATAAGTGCATAAATAAACTTTACAACCCCTTTCCTGTCTCCACTCTGGATCAGAGGGATGCGGGGGCAGCTCGGGACCGAGCAAGTGGGGGAAGAAGGGAGGACTTCCTTTGTAAAATTTAAGTGTGAAGAGGGGGGCAGGACACACTCCCCTCTTCCCCCTTCCACCATCACACTTCCCTACTGGTGATGTCAGGGCGGGCAGGGGTTCCCTTATTTAAAAAAAAAAAACCTTTAGACTCGAATGAAGGAGAGAGAGAGAGAGAAAGAGAGAGAGGAGGACGAGTGAATGGAGGAGGATATTACTACTACTACTACTGCCTGGACCGGTGCAGAGGCTGCAGTGGCGCGCAAAGACGCACAACAAAACCAAAAGAGGAGCTGACACAGAAAAGTGATTTATTGGACTATTGCTTCTCTCTTTTTAGTCTTTTCTAAGAGGTCATTTATTCATAGAGTAGAGAGGCTGACACTTTGCACTGCGAGGCATTTTGCTTTTGGACTTGTTACTCTGACTCACCTCGCAGACGCATTTTTGGAACAGGACGCACAAAACGATGCCACAATGGTGAGGTAGAATAAACCAGGAATTCTCCTGTGCAAAGGCAGTCTGAATGCAAGAGGTCTGACTTCGTAATTCAGATGAACTCTGCCTCTTCATCCACATCTTCCCCAGTTAGGTGTGCAGTTTGAGCAGTGAGTCTGGTGACGCCTTTAAAAACGTGCCTCGTTGCGTTGGGAGGGCTGACAGAAGATTCGTTGTTTTGTTGCAATTTGATGTTTTGGATGCTTCTAACGGGAAACAGCAGCGTGACTCAAATGTGTTGCAGCCAAGAAGGAGGCAAAGCGGCGGATCTTTGCGCAAAGTGCAGCGAGGCAACTGCGCCAAGAAAGGATTTGACTTTGCAGATCACACGGTTTTACAAAACGATTTTTCAGCAGTTTTAAACAAGTCTCTTCTAATTCTAAATCTGTCGCGCCTGTAGATCAAATCTACACAAAAATCATTCAATTAAAGACGCGTTCCTTATAATTTACTTTATTAAATCGTTTAGCAACAGCAGATTGAATTAAATTACAAAAAAGTGCATTCAATATCAGTTTTATTGCTGAGGACATGTGTGTAAATGTCCCGACAGGCCTAACTCCAATCCGGTGTGGGACCACTTCAAAAAACAAGAAAGCGTTTTAAACATCTTTTTTTTTTATTTTTTAAATTCAGTGTATTTTAAGTGATTTATTTGTTAAAGTGAGACAATGTTGTTCATCAGACTGCTGGCTGTGTTCCTCGTGCTCGTCTCCAACACGTGGCTGCTCAGCCCGGTCCGATCCGACGCACTTCGCCGGTACAAGCGCGCGCTGGCCCGGCGGGCAGACCGGGACCTGTCCGGGTTGGCAGGTGAACCCTGCTCCGTGTCCGGGCCGTCCCCACTGCAGACCCGCGCCCGTCCCCCGGCCCAACACCGCCCTCCAGCGGCTCATTCGAGCACGAGCCGGAGAGCGCGGAGCGCGGCTCCGGAGGTGTGCGCAGGCGGCTGCCGGTTCGACACCGGACCGGTCGCCTTCGCCGGGGAAAGGGAGAGTATCCGGGGCGGTACCGGAGCCGGGGGTAAGTTTGCCACTTTCCTCGAACGTTCTTATCAGAAAAGTGTCCAGAACAAGGAGAAAGAGACAGAAGATGTGGACAAACAACCCGGGAGCTCCGCTCCACGAGACACGGAGCGGAGACTCGTGTCCACGAGACACGCGCCGTCCCCTCGCGCCAGGTTTCCCCGCGGCCTCGAAGCGAGGCGTCGTTCAGAGGAGGGGGGGACCTCCCGGTGGGACAAAGTTTCCTCCGCCAGCTCAGCGCACAAAGGACAGCAGCTCGTGCACGCGCTGCAGCGCGCAGATGGAGACCTGCGGTCCTCGGCGGAGACTCCGGAGGACTACTCCGGGGAGGTGGAGGAGGCGGATGCGAGCTCGTCGGCAAACAGCTGGGGAGGCCCCGTGCCAAGGGTGCCCCCCTCGTGGATGAGCGCGCTGTACTTCAGCGGACACCGGCAGCATCTGAAGGTGAAGCTGGCGGAGGGAGTGGAGCTGCCCCGCGCCACCTTCACTGTGGAGCTGTGGGTGAAGCCAGAGGGGGGGCAGACCAGCCCTGCGGTCATAGCAGGTGGGTATGATGTTATCTCTGAACACATGCTCCTCTCAGTATAATCTCAGTGCCCTTCCACTAACCAGTTCCTCCTGATGATCACTGAAGTCTGAAGAAAATTAAAGATCCAACAGAATTACTGCTGGGATTAATAATTTGTGTCTTAGCCATTTCAGGCCTCAGCTGAGTTGCTCACTCCTATATTGATAAAAAAAAAAAAAAAAGCTAGAGTTGACAGAGTTTCATCAAATGCAGGAAACTTGCAATCTGAAGAAAATTTGAGAAATAAATCAAAGGTGTTGCATCACTGGCTAACATCTCAGTCTTGCAGCCACAGGAGTTTTTCTCTGTTGTGTATTTACAGCAACTGTCTTACAGAAATGATCAGCAAGCTTTATTGCAATGTCACTTTCACTCCTGATGGCAACAGTACATCTATAATAACTTTACGTTATAATAAGAAACGTCATCAGCGTTAATTCTGCAGCAGATGGTGTGGCCTGATTGGATCACTGCATTTTTTTTATTTTTATTTAATAACACAATATGAGCAAATGTGTCAATGAATATTTACCCTGCTGGGTCTTTGCGAGCCGTCCAAGCAAAATGCATGCATAAAACAACATTGCAGCCTTGGGGTGTCTGTACTAAGCCAGATTCTTACATGTTATTGTTTTCATGTCAAACCAACAGTGTTTCCCTTTCAGTCAGACTTTACATCTGCATGCACGTGGTTACCTGACCGCAAAAATTCTCAGTGTGTTTCCCTCAGCTTCTCTCCATATTTGCTTGAGGAATTTTATTGAGTCTGAACAGCAGCCACAGACACGCTGATCCCACGGAGGCTTTTGTTTTTGCATGCTCTTCCTCACATGACAAGCGCATCCCCGTTTTCCCGATATGAAAAAAGCATGCACTCCTGACAGGCAATCGCACACATCAAACAAATTGAAGAGGATAAAAGCGCCGGGGCGCAGCACCACAGCTGTCCAGATAGTGAGGGAGACCACAAACTGTTACGTCCGCTCACATTTACTGTGATCAAAGATCCTACTGCATTACTCAACTATTTTCTCCTCATTGCTTCCTTATGTGAGGCCGGTATTTTTGTGGCGTGAGCTTTTCTCTTTGTAGTGTCCTGAAGGAATTTTGACAAATATAGTGAAAAACAACGTGCATTTGTTTCTGGTAGACAAGAAACTGACACCAGGTCAGGTTGTCTTGTTGGCCTTTGCTGTTACTGTGCATGCTGCAGAATGTTGCAAACCATGGGATCCGCAATAGATCTAGGAATAAACATTTTATATTTTATGTTAAAGTTTCATTGAAGATCTGCTTTTGACAACATATTTATATCAGAACAGAGGTGGGCAATATTTCTTTCTATAGGTTCATTTTGATTTAGATAAAAGGATCAAACACTCAACTATTTATGCATATCTGCATCACTGAAAGGCTTGCTCTGCTCAATTGCTTTGTTTTTAACTGCTTTCATTTATTTTCAGCAAATAATGTCAGGAGACCAGTTTAAAGCATTTTTTAAACAAGACAAGGTTGTAGCATAGCTGGCATGCATGGCAGAAATACAATATTCCTAACATATTAGACATACTTCTTGTAAAACAACACTTTTGACGGTTACAGACATCATTTCTTGGGAAGAATTTCAAGATGAGGAGTCATATTTTTGTCAGTCTGTAACAAACCTGCCAAAGGAAAGTTCAATTCATTTCTCTGCGTAAAACATAAACACTGTGCTGTGACGTGAGCACTTAAGATTGGTGTAAAAAAATTCAAACTTATGCCTTTTTAGTTAAAGTCAAAGTTTCTTTATTTGTCGTACACATTACATGTGGTACATGTGGTAGAACGAAACTGTGTACACAGGGTCCCAGTTACATCCAACAAAAATATAAAATGTAAAAGCAAAACAGTAAAAAGATCTAAGATATGAACTATGAAAAACGTTAACTAAAAATACACTAAATACTAAAAGTACAATAACAATACGCCGAACAGCAGCAGGAACATGAGTCTGTGTGAGCAGATGAGCATGAATGAACACAGCAACATGAAACAGATCAGCAGCAACATGAAACAGATCAGCAGCAACATGATGTGATTTTTCACAGTGATTATTCTGATTAGAGATTCATGAGTCTAACAGCCTCAGGGTAGAAGCTGTTCCTCAGTCTAGTGGTTCTACACTTAATGCTCCTCAACCTTCTGCTTGTGCGGAGTGGGGCAAAAAGTGTGTGTGCTGGGTGAGTGGAGTCCTTCATGATGCAGGTAGCTCTCTTCCTGCATCTAGAGGTGTAGATGTCTGTGATGGTGGGGAGACTGACTCCAACATCTTCTGTGCAGCCTTCACCACTCTCTGCAAAGCTTTTCTTTCTGCAGCTGTGCAGCCTCCATGCCACACGTTGATGCTGGAGCACAGGATGCTCTCCACTGCACACCTGTAGAAGGAGGTGAGGACTGAGCTTCCCAGACCAACTAGTCTCAGCCGCCTGAGGAAGTAGAGTCTCTGATGAGCTTCTTGATCAGGCTGGTGGTGTTGTTGCTCCAGCTGAGGTTGTCATTCAGGTGCACAGCCAAGTACTTGTAGCTGGAGACCACTTCCACCACAGATCCTCTTGTGTTTGTTTTTCTTCTTCTTTTTTTTTTTTTTGGGGGGGGGGGGGGGGGGTAGGTGTGTTTTTTCCTTCTGAAGTCCACAATCATCTCCTTGGTCTTTTTCACATTGATGTGGAGATTGAAGGCTAGATTGGTTTTCCCTTGGTCTGTATTTTGCTTTTATGCACTGGTAGTGTAGAATAATGTGAAAATAATCAACATCCAACAGTTAATATCCAAAGATCCAGAAAATTATTGTTGTCATGTTATCGTATCATTTTACCAGCTCTACTGGGTGCATTTAGCTGTTCTCAGTTGGTTGCAGTCTACAGTTTGTACCACTAGATGTCACAACGTTCTTTGCACTGAACATGAACCCTGTGCAATTTTTTATTTTACTGCATCTTGTCAAGATATTCTATCCATACTGATAGTACTTAAAAAAAAAAAAAAATCTGGTACTACAGTATGACTAAGTACATTTTAATTCAGTTTAGTTTACACCAATTCACAGCAAATAAGGGCTGAGATGGGGTACAGGTAGGGCAGCTGACTTGGCACCAGAAAGCCGCGGTTCAACTCCCAGCCATTACCGCACACCGTGGTGTCTCTGAGCAAGACACCTAATCTCTAACTGCTCCGTGGGCGCCTACATAGCTGCCCACTGCTCCACCTGGGTGTATCTCAGATGTGATGGGTTAATTGTAGAGAAATAATTTTGCCATTGTAAGGGAACATACAATGATGACAATCTCAGACTTCCATTTTCTTCCCAAATGTCTCAGGGCAGTATACATAACATTCACATACATTAGAAAATACCAATCAGAAAAACTTATTTATATAAAAAAGCCAGTAGATTGTGTCAAATCTCCACTTTGTCGTAACATCCCATCCTGAGGAGGCACACAGGCGACAGTGGAAAGGGAAAACTCCCTTTTAACAGGAACAAACCTTCAGCAGAACTGGGCTCAGGTTAGACAGACATCTGCCTCAACGGGTTGTGGATAGTGAGGGCAATACAAACACAAAACGGCTGGTCCAGGTTTCTATGAGATGAAAGACAAGAAAACACGTTGAAGATAGAAATGGTTTCAAATACAAACATGAATGAGTAAAGACAGCAGCAGAGTGAGGAAAGGTGTCAATTTGTCCTCCAGCAGAAAAAGCCTAAATGAGCATAACTAAGGGATAGCTCAGGAAACCCAAGCCTACCCTAACTATAGGATTGATCAAAAAGGAACATCTTAAGCCCAATCTTAACAGTGTTACAAACAGAAGCTGGAAGTTGGTTCCACAAACGAGAAACCTGATAACTGAGTGCTCTGCCTCCTATTCTACTTTTAGAAACTATAGGAACCACAAGTAAACCTGCAGTCTGGGAGTAAAGTACTCATTTGTATAATATAGAACCAGTTTTTCTGCATAATTTTGGGACAACTTGTTTCTAATTGTAGTGATAGTGAGCAGGTGGAAGAAAGTGACCCTGGTAACATTTTTAATGTGGGGTTAAATGACTGATTTAAAAAAAAAAAAAAAAAAAAAATCCAGGTTTTTTACATTGAACGAGAGGCCAAATTAATGCCATTCACAGGTATTAAAAGACTGCAACGTTTGTTCCCAAGATGCTCTGGTGAAAAAAATCATGATCTCTGTCTTTTCTGAGATTAAAAGCAGAAAATTAAGTCAACCAGATTTTTATATCTCTCAGACAAGTTTATAATCCAAGTAACTGATTGGATTCATCAGGCGGTAACACTTTACAATAAGCTACACAAAATTTGATTAACTACTAGGGAAGGCCTCAGGAACAAATCAGGAACAGATCAGGAGCTAATGGGTAGTTAACCAGTACTTACTGGGGAACACACAGCCATTCCTTATTAGGGGATTACTGGTTTGTTACCACTGGAACAAACCAGCATATAATGGTCAGGTAGTGATTAAGTAGTGACTGGTTCCTCAGTAAGTACTTGGTATGATGCTTCACTACATCAGTGATCACAATAATAGCCAGGCAATGATTTGGTATCAGTAAGTGATAGTTAGACATAGTTAAGATGACACCAGTACAAGATTATGAAGTTGATAATGTCATTCATCAATATGTTTACAAAAGAGAAAATCCAATAAAATCAGTAATCACTAGGAAACAGGGTTTTGACATTTACAAGCTGTGACCTCACTGGTGCAGGGTTTATTCACAACCCACATGGAGAATTTATCCTCTGTTTCTGTGGTAACAAACCAGTTAATAATGCTTAGCTGCGTGTTTACCTGTAGGTACTGGTTAACTACCCATTTGTTCTTGATGATTTCCTCTTCATTTACAATGTAACTAACCAGTAGTCCCTTTATAAGGCTTGACTTTGTGTTCCCCAGTAAGTACTGGTTAACTACTCATTAGCTCCTGATTTGTTCCTCTTTGGGTCCATTGGTAACTACCCATTAGTTCTTGATTAGTTCCTCTTCATTTACAAGGTAACAAATCAGTAGTCCTCTAATAAGGCTTGGCTGTGTGTTCCCCAGTAAGTACTGGTTAACTACCCATTAGCTCCTGATTCGTTCCTGAGGCGTTCCCTAGTAGTTAATCAAATTTTGTGTATCTTATTGTAAAATGTTACCGCATTACCTAATGGAAACATATATAACATAAAGAGTATTTATATTGAATGAAAATATAACAGTGGTAATGTTTCCAGCATAGAGTTGATAAATGGCACACAAGGCTTAATAAACAACAACAGTTTAAGTTAGGACCAGGAGAGCATAACAAAGCACTTAGTAGCTCAAGTACCCGGACTTCTCTCCAGAGTTGGAGTGAAGTGAACATGAAGTTACTATAAACATTATTTCAAGCAGCAAAATGTGTGAAAAGACAATTGTTTGCTGGCATGCTTGTCAGTGCTTTGTGGCCTGCGCCCAAAATAAATACAGCTTTAAAACATCATCATCTAATTTGATTCAGTACAATATTTGTGTTGGTAGTGTAAATGTTTCACAAGATTACGACCACTTTTGCCATAAACTTTGTTATTTTGCATTACAAAATAAATTGCTCTCATCTGGTGCTGCATGAACCACTAAAAACAACACTCTCTTCCTGTTGTCAGCCATTAAATAATATTTTCACAGCATGGTGCACTGTACAACTGTACACTGGAGCTTCCCAAGCCCATTACTCTAACTTTAAATACATAACTGTCACATCTCTTTGGGGCCGTTCCACAACAGTTTCCCCACTTTACAAAATCACACGCATACATACATGTGTAAGCGTATGACATGCACGCACTGAGGAGGGTGAAGGGGTTCCCTGACCCTTTGCTGTCCCAGTTGTTTGACATCTGGGGAGCAGATGTAGGTTTGAGTCTGTTGCAACAGCAGATGGAAACATCAGGGCTTTGCCTTGGCTTAGTGAAGAGCGTGTGCCCTTCTTCCTCTCTTCATCCTTGTTTGCCGTCTCTGGCTTTGCGTGCTCTATCTGTTTCCGTCTCTGTCCCAGTACAGCTTTCATTTTCTCAATCTTTAGGAGTGGGAGGATAATCCTTTTGAAATAAGGCTTGTTTTCATTTATTTATTGATTTTCCTGTGCTTTCCGATTCATTTTCCCCAAAGTTTTTTTACTCTCACTTACATTCTCTGTGCTGTGTGTCCTAGGTGTGTTTGACAACTGTTCCCACTCACTAAATGAGAAAGGCTGGTCAGTAGGCATTCAGACTGTGGAACCAGCAGGTACCAAAGATGCACGCTTCTACTTCTCGCTTCGTACGGACCGAGCTGTGAAATCCACCACCGTCTATAGTCACCACCGGTACCAAGCCAATGTCTGGACTCACCTAATGGTCACGTACAACAGCCACAACATGACCCTGTATGTTGATGGAGCTAAGGTGTGTGTTTTTTGGGGGGGGTATGGTAGAACTTTAAGTTATTTAGGTTTTTAATCCATCCATCCATTATCTTTACCCGCTTCTTCCTTTTTGGGTCACGGGGGTCACTGGTGCCCATGTCCAGCTATCACTGTGTGAGAGGCGGGGTACACCCTGGACAGGTCTCCAGTCCATCACAGGGACACATAGAGACAAACGAGACAAACAACCATTCACTCTCTCACTCACACCTAGAGACAATTTAGAGTTACCAATCAGCCTAACATGCATGTTTTTGGTCTGTGGGAGGAAACTGGAGTACCTGGAGAAAACCCACGCATGCACGGAGAGAACATGCAAACTCCATCCAGAAAGACCCCTGGTCCAACCGGGGATTGAACCCACCTTCTTGCTGTGAGGCGACAGTGCTAACCGCTGAGCCGTCGTGCTGTAAAATGTGGCTTTATGAGATTTCCAAATGATTGCTTTCTGTTTTTATTTAAAATTTACATGATATATTTTTTGGGGGGATTCAAGGTTAAATGAACTTTCCAGTGTAGGCTCTAAGCTTACATGTATAAAAAGTTTAAAAAGTGCTATGGATGAAACTTTTGCTGGCTTTATGATTGAACGACTTCACCATGATACTGTATTTTCCCCCCTGTAATAAATGATGATACTTTATAGTTTATTCTACAATTTCCTTAAGCAGATACTAGATTTTAAGATGCTAGGGGTCAAAAAAATTTTTTTGAACAGCTGAAATATAATATATCAAGTTTTATTATTTTTTTCTTTATCGATCAACATCACTTTCAGTTTATTTTTGTGTCAAACAACAGTCAACCCTTTTATGTTGTGGTGGCATGAAACTCTGTTATAACATGACTTTAAAATGCAATTATGTTAGTGTTTTATTTTTTGTTTCTTAAAAGAAATGTTGTTAATGTTAGACTAACAATAATAATAATGCATTTTATTTGTTCGTGCCTTTCAAGACCTCCAAGGACACTTTTCAAAAATTAAAAGCAATACAAAAAAATTCACAATAAAATAGTACAGATCAAAAATAAAACAACTATCAGAGATGACTAAGATATTAGAGGAAGACAGCTAACTTGAACAGATGTGTTTTTAGTTGTCATTTGAAGGTCATAAGAGAGTCAAAACATTTGATGGATGGAGGAAAAGAGTTTCAGAGTTAGGGAGCAGAGTGGGAAAAGCTGTTTCCCATGATGCTGAGGCAGACAGAGGGCATGGTGAGGTAGAAAGAAGAGGACAAACAGAGAGAACAGGAATGAGTGGTGATGTGCAGGAGATCAGACAAACAAATACTCAACTCAAATTTATTTAGGTAAATTAACAACATTACAAAAAAGGAAAACAATATAAAATGCAAACAAAGTCCATGCTCAATAATCCAGGTATACAATCCAACAATTTTCAGTCAGGTCATCTGGACAGTTGATTTTTTTTGTGCTGAGACGTTTCACCTTCCATCCCGAAGGCTTCATCACTCAAGGAAACACACAACACAAAACTGATTCTTCCCCCAACAGCTTACTCCAAAGTGGAACAAACCTGTTCTGTTGGTGCTAAGATGGTCTCTTTGGCACGCCCCCTCCTCCAGTGCTGGCTCTCTTCCTCGTCAACAGTCATGTCAAACTGGTTCAAAACCAACAAAGTCCATGCTCAATAATCCAGGTATACAATCCAGAAATTTTCAGTCAGGTCATCTGGACAGTCTTTTTTTTTGTGCTGAAACGTTTCGCCTTCGATCCAGAAGGCTTCATCAGTTGACTGATGCACAAAAAAGTTTCAGCACAAAAAAAGAGACTGTCCAGTTGACCTGACTGAAAATTGTTGAGTATAAAATGCAATTTTACAAATCCATAATTTACCAAAAAAGCAATAGGCTGAAGCCAAGACTTATACTTGCCTACCCATTCATAGACTCAGCAGTCTACTATGCTGAAAGATATCTACTGTCCATATACATACATACGTACTTAAGTACAAACTTATATTTAATTATGTATGTCTATACATACGTACACATACTCATATTACATACATACATGGTTGTACACATCTACATGGTATAAACTATGATAATTTTACATTTTAAGGCTCTTTTAAAGCTCACCAAAAGAAGTACATCATTTGAGATCATCATTCAATTCATTCCACAATTTCATGCCGATAACTGAAATACATCTAGATTTTACTTTATTTTTTTCTTTAGTATGTTCAGATATTAACAAACCAAGTAGGGGCGAGGTTGAGGATGGCTTTGAATGTGTGCAGCATTACACATTCAAACACACATTCACTTTTAAATTGAATTCTGAACATGACTGGACCGGAGGTCACTGAAGTTGCTGTAGGAACGCAGTGATGTAGTGAAAAGAGGGTGTTTTGTTAATGATGCAAGCTGATGAATTTTGGACCATTTGAAGCTTTCGTTGGGATTTGTGAGGGAGCCCGAAGAGAAGAAAGTTACAAAAATTAATTTGAGAAATGATGACACTATGAACTAAGCAGCGTACAGAAAGACGGAAGGACGGAATAGTTTCAAGTGTCATAGGTTAAGGATGCAGATCGGGTAATGTTTTTGATGTGAGAGGGAAAAGAGAGATTGCTGACAAGTATGACAACATTTATATTTACATTACTGCAGAAATCAACTACTTTAACTGCTTAAAATACTATTTTTTAAATATTTTTAGCACAGAAAATTACTGTCTTTTAGAGCTGTCTCAGCCTGAAATAAAAATATCAAATTTAAATGATTGCTACTTAAATCGGTCATGCGACTATCACGTGCTGGCGTGTAAATTTTCTCCTTAGAAGAAAAAAAATCATCACTCAGAGTAGACGGCGAAATCGTCACTCACTGCCTGTTATTGAGAAGACAGCTACTTTAGAGTCAGCCACTTGAAGTATTTAGGTGACAAAGATTACTTAAGTTTGAGAATGTGCTTGACAAAAAGGATTTTCAAAGCCAACTTGTAGTGTGAAAATGTTATTTGTGTGTTGAAAATGTCATAATTTATATCCTGATGCATGCTCAATAATCCAGGTAGAAAAATCTAAAAAAGTTAACTCTGGTCCTCTGGACATTCAAAACAAAACAAAACAAAACAAAGCAAAACAACAAAAAAATGTAGAAACATTTCGTCTTTCATCCGAAAGACTTCCTCAGCCTGAGTTGCTGTATTCAGTTCAGTCTTATACATTTGCAAACTGAGGTGTACCGCAAACCCACCCACACAGACCAGTATTTACAGTTTGACTCCCATCACCCTTTGGAGCACAAGTTAGGAGTCATCAGGACTCTGTACCACAGAGCAGACAGCATCCCCACTAGCTCAGGAGCCAGGCAGAAGGAGAAATCCCCCACAAGACAGGCTCTAGAGCAATGTGGATATCCTAACTGGGCCTTCCTGAAAGCAAAGAAGAAACCCAAACAGGACTCCAGTCAGCCAACAGGTGAAAAGGAGGAACCCAGACCCAGACCAGTGGTCATTCCGTATGTTGAGGGAGTATCAGAGAAACTGAGACGTTTATTTTCTAAACATAACGTCCCAGTGGCTTTTAAACCCCAAAATACATTACGGCAAAGACTGGTTCATCCCAAAGATCCAGTCCCCCGGTACAAACAGAGCAATGTTGTGTATGCTGTTCAGTGTCAGGAGGGTGATCAGTCTTACATCGGGGAAACTAAACAGCCACTGGCCAAAAGGATGGCCCAGCACAGAAGATCAATATCATCAGGCCAGGACTCTGCGGTCTACACTCATCTCCAGGCCAGCGGTCACTCTTTCAGGGATGAAGATGTGCACATCCTGGACAGAGAGGAACGATGGTTTGAGAGAGGAGTAAAGGAGGCCATCTTTGTGAAAAGAAATTGTCCATCATTAAACAGGGGTGGAGGCCTCCAGGTTCAACTGTCCCCCTCTTACAATGCTGTGATTGCTAGTATCACTCAGCCCTCTGTGAATAGTAAACAGCCATCAGTGTGCTAATGATCCATTGTTAGGCTGATGGTCCTTCTTGAGCATGTGATCAGCTGGTTTTGGTTGTCAGCAGCAAAACTGGTTGATCCACTCTGAGAAGGTGCTATTTAAGAGACTGAGCTGAATACAGCTCCTCAGACTGAGGAAGTCTCTTGGATGAAAGACAAAATGTTTCTACATTTTTTTGTTGTTTTGCTTTTTTTTTTAATGTCCAGAGGACCATATTTAACTTTTTTAGGTCATAATTTATGTTAAAAAAGGTTGAAACAAGGAGAAGTTTACACTATACTTTTTATTTTTTGTTTCCCCTCTATTTGTCTCAGGTAGGAGAAAGTAGTCTCCAGTCTGGGAGTCTCTACAGTCGCTTCATGCAGACCTGCAGAACATTATTTCTTGGCAGCAAACAGTCCGACGAGGGCCACAGCTTCAGGGGCCACATTGGAGGAGTGGTCTTATGGGACTATGCCCGCACTCATGAGGACCTCCTTAAATGCCCACTTCAAATAGAGACCAGCAAGCCAGTTCTATCGATGTGGGGGGATTTCACCAATGTAAATGGTTTAATTTAATATCTGTGTTGTGTAATAATGTATAACTTATGTTAATATAATTTGTTTTCATTTTTATTGGACTTCTTCTTCTTTCAGCTTTTCTCTCTTCAGGGGTCGCCACAGCAAGTCATCCTTCTCCACCTCACTCTGTCCTCTACATCTTCTGTTCTCTCTCCAACTACCTCCATGTCCTCTCTAACTGCATCCATATATCTCCTCTTTGTCTTTTTCCTGGCAGCTGCATTTCTAACAGCCTTATATCAATATACCCACTGTCCCTCCTCTGGACATGTCCAAACCATATCAGTCTGATCGCTCTAACTGTATCTCCCAGTTGTTCAACCTGTGCTGTACCTCTGATGATCTCATTCCTAATCTTATCCATCCTTGTCACTCCTAAGGAGAACCTCAACAACTTCATTTCTGTCACTTCCTGTTCTTTGTCCTGTCTTTTTGTCCATGTCTCTGTCTCCAGACCATACAACACAGTTGGTCTCACCACTGTCTTGTAAACTTTTCTTTTAACATTTGCTGACACCCTTTTGTTGCAAATCACTCCTGAAACTTTTCTCCATCCGCTCCATCCTGCCTGGACTCTCTTCTTCACCTCTTCACCGCACTCCCCATTTTCCTGGGGAGTTTTCTCTTTTCCATTTATTTTCCACCTGTTCACTGTTCTCACCACAGATCACAATGTCATCTGCAAACATCTTAGTCCACGGGGATTCCTGCCTGCCTTTAATTTTTATTGGACAAATTGGTTTTATACACTTGAACCAGATCAATATCGTACAAAACTTTTCCATTATAATGCTTCTGTTTTTAAGGTGGAGCGTCTATGGACTCCTTATAAATTTGGCCTTCATCCTACTGTCGTCACCACTCCTGTGCCTGAGCAAGAACACATCTCCTTGTTCCTGCCCCCGCCCTGTGGCCTGACACAGTGTGACAACACCGACATCATTTCTGGCTACAACAATAACTGGCAGCTGCGTACCCCCAAGCGCATTCGCTATCGAATTGTCAACCTCTCAGATGATGACGGTGGAAATCCAACAGTGACAATGTCCCAGATTCAGATCCAGCATCAGGTTCTGAACGAAGCCTTCAGGCCATACAACATCACTTTGGATCTGAGAGTCCATAATGTGAAAAACTCCAGCCTTCGGCGGAAATTTATCCTCAGCAACTGTCGAATTGGCAAGATTGGGAACCGCCAGTGTGACCCGGAGTGCGACCACCCGAGGACAGGCCACGATGGAGGGGACTGCCTCAGGATGGGACACTGCTACAACTGGAAGAGACAAGATGGTGTCTGTAACCCGGAATGCAACAGCATATACTACGACTATGATGATGGAGACTGCTGTGATCCAGATGTCACAGATGTCCTCAAGACCTGCTTTGATCCTGAATCTCCTGAGAGGTGAGGTTATGACCACTAACCAGGGAATAACTAGTGTGGGAGGAAAGTTTTAGTCTGTTTATATCACATAAAGAGTGTCAGAACTCAACTGCAGGTGGCAGGCTGATTAATAAGAAGAAATGAACTTGAACTACATGTTCAATTAGGTGCTCTAACCTTCTCCCCTGGTGGTAGAGACAGATTAGTGGAGGGGGCACAGCAGATTACGAGGCCGAGGTACACAGTTATTTTTACTAAACAACTTGAGCTGCAGCCTGCTGCCTTCTGACAGACAGGCTCATGCAGAGTTCCAAATCACATGCATAAATTCTCGCCATGAGGCCGCAGGCCCGCTGCTTTAAAGAACTTAATTCAAGTCCTTAATCCAAATTGTGGAAAACCACAAGCTTACACTGGACCACTTAAAACAATGGTTATGACAGGTTAGGAAATACATGTATATATATTTGGCACTTCATGTCTAGAGTAATCTGATGAAAAATTGACAGCTCAATACACTGTCTGATTATTGAGCTAAAAACAAGAAGAAAAGCAGTTTTTTTCAATAAACATTGAATAAATTGACCTCTATATATCTTCGGTTGACACAGATTTGCTGGAACAAATAGAAAATCATCTCATTTTAGCTTACAGTCCCAAAAAAATTCCTCCACAGTTTATTCTTCAAAAGTTTAAGTACTGCGATAAAGTTTAACTTCTACAGAAGACATTTTGATGATTAAACAACCAACAATTAGCATATGTGATGATTTTTTTTAATGAGAAAATGAGGTAAAAATACAAACTATCAACTTTAACAGTGTAGTCAGAGCAGAAATAAAACAACTGAATGCTTCATATTATTCTCACAAACGTTAATGGATACTTTTAGATTCCACGTTAGTGACAAAAAAGAAATAGATCAAAATCTGTTTATTAAATGCAACATAGCTAAGCCACTAGCTAGCAACAGCATAGATGTCTTAAAAAGATTCAGTGTTGAATAAAAAGGCCAGATGACAAGTGGTGTTAGAGGCTACATACAAGAAATAATGACTGTGGGAGTTATCCATCCATCCATCCATCCATCCATCCATCCATCCATCCATCCA